TCCTTTAACCCTCGGCGCATCATCGAGCTCAATCGCCCGGCAAACACGATGACGTCGAATGGCGTATTAATGATGCATTATTGACATTAGAGAATGTCATGAATGCGTCATTAATACGTCATTTGATGTCGTTCTGCCGCTTGGGCGCGATTTCAATTTTAGTCTCTTTGGGATTTTCCTTTCTCGAGAACAGTTTCATGCGTGAGAGAAGTGATATCTCGCGCGATTTTTACGTTTTACACTTCTCCCAGAGATCTAAAACAAAAGCCAAGAAAATTTTCCGTTTTTTAATTGGAATAACATTCATTCTATCTTGCAATTAACGCGTGGTACGGCAATACCGAAGATTAATTATAATAGAACAATGGAGATCACAGAGCATAGGAGAGTAAATTTAATTCATTGTTCCCAAAGCAAATTGCTCCCCTCTCATTAGACCGAGGGAGATCTCGACATTTGTTCGGGATAATTTCGAAATCACAACGTACTGAAATTTAATCAGTGATACACGATAAATGACTCCCTCTAACGCGTCACGTGCTAAATATTTTAAATGCCTGAGAATTTTTTGTAATATTTTACATCGAACTCGCATCTCGTGCTGCAACCATCGAGAATATCGCAACGTGTTCTAATTCCAGCATGGATAATTTATTTATGCGCCTTTAACAGATCGCTAAAAATGATGCTGATATAATATGACTTTGGCTGGCAGTTTGATCACCGGATGTATTGACTTTCGATATGCACAGTCGACGTTTCCGACGTCTGAATATACAGCACGAGTTAGCTGCTAAATCGTGAAAGTCTCGAGATCTCCCACGTGTCTCCGAAATATCCCTCAACTACCTCCGCATTTTAAATTCTCGTTTGTGCTACTTCGAGATAATAATTCTCTTCCCGGCGCGAGAGGGAGAAAAATACGCGCGACTCGCAGCCGCGCCATCCGGTTTATTTCGGAGCGCATGCGGTGTGTGTGATTCTTCGATTAAAAAATGATCAAAGAGCAAATCGAAACATCTCTGCCATAGCGTAGCGCGCGCGCTGTTGACTTTAATCAACGAGTCTCGCGTGTACAATTATTAATTTCTCTCTCGGTCGCGCGAACGACGCTCGGATGCGACAAACTGCGCGTCATCGGAAACTTAAATCACAAGAGAAATCACGGTCTCGGAAATGTTACTTTTTTTTTCGGCTTTTTCTTTTCAACGATCACCCAAGGGTTGCCCGCGGATCTCTCTCGATCCTCGGCAGCCAAGTCTCCTCTTTTTTTTTTTTATTTTCAGTACAAGGATATCTCTTTTTCTCTCTTTATCTCTCACCTCTTCTTCGCTTCATTCGATCTATTAAGTAAATTGTGATAAGTAACGATATACATATTTAATCCTACCTCGGAGGAACGTATATTCGAATGCCGTAAATCTCGCTTTATTCGACAGACTCGTCGCGTCGCGTATCAAATAATAAAGTCTCCGATGCCAAATGGCGTCAACGGGGTGGAAAGGGTTTTACGAGCGGGGATGGGTGTCCTTGGGACATGTGGACGAGCGCGTTCGCGCGAGAAAAAGGGAGAATTCTGCGCGCGGTTATACCTAAAAATAAGAGCCGCGATATATCTTCCGTCGGCGGTGCGCTCCATTATCGATAGTAACTTTCACTCCCGGCGTGTCCGTTTCTTCGCCATTCGATGCATCCGTAATTTTCCTCGATAAATCATGCTCGCGGTGCTCCCTATCGGCGCATCGCGACGGAACGTTATCTAGCGAAATTTATTCACCCTCGGCCCCCGAGAGCGCGCAATTTGCGCGCGACACTTTGGAAATTAAGTTCGTCGTGATCCTTTGCCCTTGGAAATTAACCGTCTTGATGACTCGACGTAAGCGACGTCGATGAAACAACCGACGAAAAGTCGGCCAGTGTGAGAAAGATGGGCGGGAGGGAGTGAGGGGGCAGAGAGAAAGAATCTGCCGGAAGTAATCGCGATATTTCTGAGAGACTTGCCGGAGTGCAAATCAACACATCCGCGCAAATAGTAAGCGTGCTCAATTTCCGCCCGATTTCCGCTTCGTGTCGTCGCGCGGGGAGTTAACGCGCTTCAAGCCTAATCTCGTGCCGTTGCAGGTTCTACCGAAGCTGAAATTCCGCTACTCTCTCTCCACGCCCAGCAGCAGCGAGCGAGGTAAGCGCGCTGCATCGCTGCCGCCGCCGCCGCCGCCGCCGCCGCCGCCGCCACCGCCGCTGTCGGAGTCGATTCAAGGTGCAGTCACCTTTCTCAGGGGCCGGGTGACCGTGGAATTCCACTGGGTACACTCGGGCGGAAAAATAATCTCGTTCCGTAAAGTACATCTTCGCCGTGTACCTCGGCCCCTCTTCTCTCATTCCCTTTCTCCTCCTCGTTCTCTCTCTTTTTTTTCTCCCCCTCTCTTCTCTCTTTCTCTCCTCTCTCCAGCATGGCCATTACGTCGGTCGAGGAACCAACTTAAACTCAGCCGTGCCCCGTGCATTTTAATGCAGCCGCGATTTATCAGGGAGCGCACCGGATCTTCGATGCGCGCCGCGGGAATCGCCTCCTCGTACGTAATATCGAGAGTAAAAGTGAGCCGAAAGTTACTCACGTGGCGGCGGTGACGTGCGTATATATACGTCCACGTGTGTTTTCAAACGAGCGGCCGTCCACAGGAGGGTGGCCGCGAATCTCGCGGCCGAAATTCGACGTTGTCGCGCGACAGTTCCGGAAGTCATCGTCATCGTCGCGCGGACGACACGGCATGCGGGTTATAACGTCGACACGTCGGCGAAAGATGGATCGATCGCGCGTGTTCTCTTTCTCCTTTTCTCTCTTGGTCGATTCCTTCGCGCACGCGAAGGTGTTTCGAGGCTGTCGGGGCGTTCTACGTGAGACGCTCTTCGAAATAAAATTTGATATCGGGAAAACTGCGGGAGGAATTGAACGTTAAGTTGATAGCGGGACACGGAGGAGAAGGAGGGGAAGGAGGAGAAGCAGACTAATATGAGCCGAACTCTCATATCGCGCCGAGCTAAAACAAGATGAAATTTCTTGAATATCGTGACTCGAATGTGAAAAAATTTGCAAGTCGTATATTAAACACGCGTATATTAAACACCGAGTCGAAGGTGTTTACCGTTATTACTCGCGAGACTCGCGGCACCGTCGCGAGAGAGAATTCCCCGATATTCACGACGGAGATCGACGTGCCCTCGATCCGGTCGACAGCCACATGCAGGAGGACACCCATCCTCGCGCGAACCAGGGCGAGGGAAAA